CGGTGATCGTGATCGTGGTCTCAACAGAACCAATGTCCTATGACCTTTACAACAGATAGCACTTTTGCTTGTCCAACCTTGTATAAGGTAAATTGCACAACGGCATGTCGACATCAGCACTCACTTCTTGGACATAGCCTTGAAGTTAACTAGACTTGGCAATATCAGCGTGGCTGTCCTAACCCCTTCGACTCCGTAATTTATCACTCAGCGTTCTCAACAATAAATCGAGCTGCAGTAACAACAAGGATGAGAACGAAAAAAAAACAATATAGCGTAAGATTTAGAAAGTTCTGTAATCAAGGAGAGTGCCAGACAGGAACGAAAATTCAGTCCGGCACTCGGCTTTTACAGTGATCTGGCACGTGTTAACACGCAAATATTTACCCGTCACATATACGACGCGCCGAAATGGGGCTTTGGGCAAGGACACGGAGGTAGGTGGTGGGGTAAGCCAGGGGTTACTGTAAGAGCCACGTGCCGGATCGAATTTTCGTTTTAGTGAGAGCCGGTACTACTCAACTGAACCCGCCCTCCAGCAAACCCTCGCGCCAGAGATGAATGTCGAAGCAGACCACCTCATCGCACAATTGTAGGATGTAAATCCTGTGAAGCTAAGCTCGGCCTTTCCTCTGCAAGCAGCTGAAAAAGACTGCACAGGAGCTCGCGCTAGTTGTCGCTGACTTAATTTTTCTAGGATTCATTAAGGGCAGAACGATCTGATAAAAGGGGAGAACATAAAATCGAGGACAACAATTTCAGGAACGAGAGGATGCAGTAATTTTGATTGTGTATACGCTACCCTATATTCGTATTTGCCAGAGGATTACGCCCGTCGAGCTTATGAAAGCCAAGTATAGACTTTGAAAGATTGGTTTCATTCCAGCTTCATTCCATTCCCTCTAGCCATTAATATGGCACTATTAAGATAATGTCTCTACGAAGAGCTAAAGAAAGAGCATCAGGGGTTCGTTCAAGTCCAAGTCGATCTTCGTTCAAAGAGAGCCGGGAGCAAAAGGAACGAAGGTCATCATAATGAAGAGAATCGCTTCAGAACTAAGGAGGACTTGTGTTATTATTATTATCAAACAAATGGATTTCAGTTACTACCTAAATCATACATTTACGATTGTTTTTGTTGCAGTGGTCGCGAAAAGCGCAGTAGCCCCGGCACCCCTCATCGCTCAGCGAAGAAGTCGCAATCTTTGACGTTTGTCAATAGGTAAGCATGAGCTCGATACATACGATTTCTTGTCAAACCTGATATTTTCAGGAGAGGATCAAAAAAAGGCAGCCCACCAGTGCGTTTGTTTCGATCGAATTCCTTAAATATTCGTAATAAAATACGATCGAGTAAATTAGCATAGTCATAAAATGCGATTTCTGAAATTTTATTTTCAGCTTAACCGTACCCCTCTCGACGACGATCCTAAAGTATTGCCCCTTCCTAGAAGGTATTTTGGTTTCCATTCTTGATCTGGCAGAAAGGTTTTTGGCCAAATCGACACGTGATATCCACGGCGTTGTAATCTGCGACTATACTAGGCAAGAGGTGTAGGTACTGTACGCAAATCGTTTCGCNTCGCTCTCGCCGGCGCAATGGCGCGCTGTGAAGGAAAATATTTAAATTTCCAGTGGGAGATAGTCACCGCGGAATTGGTGCAGATTGCAGTGGAAATTCGGGGAGAGCCCCCCTTCAGGCATGCATACGCCATTTCTTTAGGAGCGCACTACTCTGAAAAATGCAGATGTTCTGGATGAGACGTTGAGAAACTGGATTAGTGGGGAACGAAAAATGTCGGAGAGGGACAGAGTAAAACTGAAAGCTTTTTGCAAGCATTCTCATTTTTATATGCATTCTTGGGCCTGCACATGCTCAAACTCTCTCGTTTTGTCTATGTCAGGATTTGCCATCGCCTGAAACTAAAATGCTGCGAACGGTTTGACCATAGTCATTCGTCGTGTCACTTCCTCTCATTTTTCATGCGATACATTCTGACACCTATGTCGTATCTTTACGGAGCCTCTGCTTGTTCTGGCGTAGAACCCTGGTCCAAAGCTTGGCTAGGGTGTGCGGCAATGACTTACTGCTGCAGGCTAATTGCTTCCTGGTTTGATCAGACCTAGGGTTTGATTTGACGTCTAAAAATGGTTGAGCTGACTGTTGTTCAAACTCTTGCCATTTGAGCTATAATCAACAGTCACCACCGGACGTATGGAGCCGTAAAATGCGTGTACTTGACGAAATCTTCTCAGATATGACCGTCTCTTCCAGTGCTGTAAGTTCACTTATATAACTATGACTAGGTTCGTACACTTAAAACCTAATTTGCCAGAAAGATATGTATATTTGGTCACATACTTTTGAACATATCACACCTTCGTCAAAGGAACGATATCGTCACAGATCACTCTATGAAATCAGTTTTCAGCAAGAAGGGCCAACGAGCGAGTTCGAGCTTTTACACGTTCGCCTAATGATTTTTGAACCTGGTCCGTTCAAAACCATAAAACGGTAAGTTCGTACCCAGCTAGCTATGTACTAAGCGTAGCATGTTTTTTAGATTAACTTATCACTGATTCCCATCCTGTTCGAACTACCTGAATGTATTTCATTTGGGAAAGGAAACAGCACAATACATAATATTCGAGTAAAACTAATTTTTAGGGTTCACATTAGCCGAGAAATGTCAGCCGCTCTGAGTGTAAAAGAAGCAATTGATGAGCTGATGGATAAAAGAACTAGGTAGGTGTCCATTAACAAAATCTGAATTTTTACGATCCGTTGTTTATTTTAGTATGCTGCACAAGGTCTAATCTTTCCTCTCATGTAATGAGCGTTTAGCTGGAGGGAGCAATGGCCCATCCAAGTATCCACTGCTTCTAAAAAGACGAATGCGCACTCCTTTCATTCTTGTTCCTAGGGGCTGATATACTAACTTTCCTGATCAGCAACGCGGTCTACAGTACGAATCGAGTTCCCGTAGAGAATATTCAATTCTTTGCTCCCTAGCGCTCTACCAAATTAGCTACCACGTAATGAGAAATGGATGGTTTAAGGCCTGTCACCTCTTGCGTATGGTACGGCACAGGATTTGTTGAGCCTCAGACTTCTCATGATACAAAATCTCTACATTGTATTATTCTCACCTCTCATTACCAGTTCCACTACCTGCTCTAGTTTGGGAGTTTCTAATTTTCAGAAACATCCAACATGAGTGCCCTTCACGGCTGTACTTCTGTTCTGAGAACACAAGCCAAGGCCTTAGGAAGATAACCGTGGAAGAGGTACTGCGACTTTTTCTGCTGCTCTAAAACTTATGCACCCTTCCACCTTAATCTCTACTAGGTCACAAAGGACACCCGAAATATTGAGGAATGGATGAGCTCGTTAGCTCTTATCCATATTTAATGGCAGTAATCTTGAAAAGCATGATTTACTGTGAATTCAGTTCGAAACGGCTCGCTTATGGCAGTATCCGGCTCGTAACAGCGTGCTGCATTTCGTTCTCGACGCTGTCGGTTATCTCAAGGGGAAAAGAGGAGACTGATTTCAGCACAGCAGAACATGCCACTTATATGCTTGATTCACTGTAGACTTTGTCGTGATCTGCTCGTTCCTTTGAACACATTAGAAATAATGAATAAAAGTGTGATGTGGTGTACGATACTGACCTGTTCATCTGAAAATGAGGCCACGACGTTGACTTCAATCATAATTACAATTATATTTACAATCATAATTTCATCATAATTACATGCTACGCATGCTATACTATATGTTATACTAGCACTAACAATTTTTCACCAGACTGGTACTTTAACAAGCGGCGTTCAACCGAATTCCGCTCCACGCAAAGATCCGACACCCACGATGAAGGTGAACTTAGTCAACAGTTATCAGAGAAGTTGTTGCCGCTGACTTCCTTTCGAAGCGGTTTGTTGTACTTTTCACAAAAGTTTCGTGCAGGGACGAGTCCGGCGTTCAAAGAAGTAGGGTTTTCACACTAGTGCTAATTGTTGTAGAAGAGTCTCTCGGTTCCGACAGCCTGTACAGCAATAAAAACACCTAGTGCCTTATGCCCACATTGCATGGGACAAGTGGGTTATGGCACATAGCAAATATTGCAATTTCGGCACCGAAAGTAATCGTTGACCTTTTTTGACACGACTTTCGTGAGCATCATTGAGTACTCTACGATAGCATAAGTCAGTTACGACGGTATTACGTAAGAGTGTTTCGCCAGCCACGATTGAGGTAGTTCCAGACAAACGGCGTGCCGAGCTCGCCGTTCCTCTTGTGCAGTCCTTGCGCATCACACCATAAAGGGTGAGGGTGTACAAACAATGTAGAAGCTAGTAGGAGCCAACCAAACTTAAAACATTGTATTCAATTATGTAGCTGCCTATACGTTTACCTTCGGAATAGATATTATAGAAATGTGTCGATCTGAATGTCTATTTGGACAGGAGTGGGGGACGTCATGGACAAACCTTTCAATCAGTTTTCATAACATCCAAAAAGGTAGAGCCCGGAAATATGAGACAAGTGAAGGGCAGGTCAACAAGTGAAATGAAGAAAACTCATCGACCGTCGGCAAAAAACTTTTTTACGAAGAATTTCAACTGAAAATACCTTCGGCATCTAACCTGTTTCCCAAAACAGACGCGTGATTTTCCATCTTACTTACCATACAGCGCTTCGTCTGTCGTTCTGTCGTTCTGTCGTCTGTCGTCTGTCACGGAATTCCTTACCTCCTTCAGGTCTGCCCGGACGGACCGGGTCAAGCATGGGATGCGTAGGCCATAAGTCGAGAAGTATAAAGTGCACATCGGCTTGGCAGAGGAGCCCCGCCCACAGTGGGCGTGGTGNGGGGGGGGGGGGGGGGTGGGTAAGGCGAGGTAATACATTAGTTATTTAATATGTATACCTCTCCTAACCACTGATCCTACTACTGACCTCGGAGCAGAGAGAGTGTGAAGCGGAAAAAATACGGCTGGTTCTGGAATAAGTCACCGCTTCAATAGCTACCCGAGGGTCAATATAACCATGCCAAGAGAGGGTCCGGAACGGTGCGTATGGAGGCACTAGATCAAAATTCGCCAGAGCAAGCTGAAGAGGCTCGTAGGTGAGAAGTCGCACAATTCGGAGCGCAAAGGAAAACAGGCCCAAAAATGCTCAAAAACTTTATGCGAATGTGCACCCTCATTTGTCTCATCATCGTCTCGGTCGAACGAACTATCTGCAGTGAGACCAACAAGAAGGTTGTACCTCCTACGATAAGACGTATTAGCAAAAAGGATATTCACGAAAATGGCATGCAAATCGTTCAATGTCTTCTTCAATACTGCACTCAGAATATGTCCTCAAGAACTCATGAACAAAACGGTCTCACTCAATCACATTAACATAGCAGAGCTTGCAATTTACAAAACTTCGCAAACGGATTTCCAAACCCCAAGCAATCTACTTTTGAGATGTGTTTTCAAGGACCGGAGGGTGCATCCGCTTGTTATCTATTCGGCCATCTGATAGTCCGTCGTTTTCATTTTTTCAACATCCATCTGATAGTCCGCTGTTCTCATTTTTTCAACATTTTTTTTGGCAATAATAGGAACAACGAGAAGGAATCTCGGACAAAATATGGAGGCGGACTGATAATCTAGCCACAATGTAAGGTCTCTACGTTTTGGCTTCCATAAACGCGAGAACTTGTTAAATGATTGGGGAAATAGCACATAGAAAACCCGGTGGACGATCCGCAGCTGTACCATTTCCGAAAGGATTAGTGAAACGTAAGAAAAAACGGTCAACAGGTATTTCTGTCAACTTTGAAAGTGTCAGTACGAATATTCAAAACCTATCTTGCATCATGGTCCGCCTTGGATCTTGATATTGACTTTTCAATTGTTTAACGGATTCCTCATAAAAATCGCTAGTTCTCGGTATCATTTGAAAGGACCTCGCTGTATACTCTATTAATAAGGGTTGGCGATTTTTCCGTGTTGGTGCAGGTTGTTCCGATGGATTGCTCAAACACTTGGAACTTTCAGTGCGTTTTTAGAAGTCTTTTTACGTTGACCATGAGAGACGAGCAGTAAACTGACACAACATTCTTCAGAAGAAGTTGGATGGTTCCTGATGTGTTATTCTTGAAGTCTCATAAAAGAGTGCTGACTCTGGCTGACTGGCCAAGATAAAATATTACCGCTTGTCCATTGCGCAATTTCGTTGAGCTGGCAGTTGTAGAATTTGCTTGTAATGTTGACGATATCCTAATAAGAGGACTGACCTATGTGCAGATGTGGCCATAAACGGTAAAGGTCTTGGTGGGTTAAACAATCCCGTCTGAGGGATGCGCTCACTCATTCTACTTCCATTCAGAGTCGTAGTGGCGTAGTGAATGCGGCCTTTACAGTGGCTTGTGACGGCCAGTCGATGCACAAGTCAGCGCTTTCATCGTCTCAAACGTGGTACCATTTAACCGATCACGTAGAGAAGGATGGCAGACCTGGGCGGATATCGATCTGGGATTCAAACCTGCGATCACTTGTCCATTACATCACCTTTCGTCTAAACGTAGCCATATGAGCGATAAGGGCCTCCCCTTGGATAGTTCATGTCGTGGACCCTTAATCTGAAACGGAAACTGCGGAAGCGTTTATCGGAAGTGGTTGCACCCCATTCTATTCCATATTGACCACGGAGATTTTTTTTGGGGAAAGACGAGAGATTTTTGATGTTCAATAGCATGCAAGCGTGGAGAGGAGATTTAGTTCGTAAAATATGAGTGTAAATAGCTGGTCCGCTTCTGTGGAATTAAGCGAGCGGCAGCAATCATCAACTAATCTTTGAACAAGTGGAAGATTTAGACGACATTGGCGATTACAGGCAAATTTGAATACTGTCTCTGATTTGTTAACTTTTCATACGACTCATGGCAGGATAGGCAGAATCTAGGTGAAGGACAGCCTTGATAGGATGCCCTGCTGCTAAGGGACTTCATTACAATGATCACATTTACACGTCCACAAGATTTGCTGAATTACGGCGATATAGGATGTCGTTATTTCCGAATTTCATAGATTTGATGAGGGCCTCTGTTCCATCAAAGCAGAATCGGGGAACTTTTAGCAACGGGGATGCTTATACTCGACTAATGACGATTCACTACCTCTGCACAACAGCCTGTGTATCCTAAATAGAATTCTGCTGATCCCGTTGAGGGTGGTGGAAAACTTCACAACCAGGATTTAGCCATTCTGCAAGCAAGAAAGCGCAAATGGAATTTAGTGTTTGGAGCTAGCTCCGTCAGTGATCGAATATCAGGGACGCCGGACACGTCTGGCTATCTTGGGATGACAGTGGAATCAGCGCGGGTACTGTATGGATCTCTTGGAACCACAAAAATACCATCACTCCCTCCAGGGCAATGGCCGGAGGTTTCACGGAAGCCTAAGCGGGAGAAGTTCTTTGTTTTGTATTATTTGAGCGGAGACGACCCTCTGGACTACTCTGCCCCATGACGATGACGGATGGTGTGGATACTGGTGCAGATCAGAGGAATCAAAAGGATCGAATAAGTTGTTGACGGTGCTTGACTTTTTTAGAAATGAAGCGTTCAGTAGCGAAAAAATCGGATCAAGGTGCACGATGTGGACAAAAAGATGGAAGTTTCTGCGTGAAAGATCTTCGAAGCATTCTAATGCTTCCGAAACATATTAAACTGGACACCAAGGATACGTGTCACAGAGTCACAGCTAATTAATCGAGAGTGAAGAGGAACAACGGAAGGAAGCACCACTTTACTCGGAAACATGAAAGTTCCTTTGGTTGAGCCAATGACGGAAGTTAAAGTCGCCACCTGATCGAAATTCATAGGAACTCTCATGCATTGTAGAATTGCGCCAGCACAAATTGAGGGAAATTCCGGTGCAGTAAGTTTTAGGAATCACATAGAATATAATCTGCAGCAGTGATTCAGTGAAAGATATTCTTGTAAACATTATGTTTGTGCTGTTCATACGATCAAAAGATTTATTCAAAGCTATCAGTATGTAACTTGATCAGATTCTCTTGAGTGAGCACGGTTGGCCCATGCAGGTTTCTGAAAGAACACCATTTATTTGACCGCAAAAATGAAAAATACTACATCAAGAAGGGCATTCGAAGTCATCGTGGTGTCTAAATTGTCACAGACGAATCGCTTGGGAATTGCTGAATAGAAATAGCGTTCTTCCGGGGGTGAAACTTCGATCACAGCCCTCTGTTTTAGTGATGCTGAACACACAGCTCAAAGTCAGGTCAATTCAAGGGAGTTCTTCGTAGAAGTCGTCCAAAAGGTAGAGGAGCAAGCTCTGAAGTCGCGAAAGTTCAACGGCATCAAATCCCCCTAAGCACTCTTTAGACAGTACTTGCCATCACATCAGAGTGTATCTCTCCTCCAACATTATAGTTTTCCACACAGAGAACGAAAATCGCGCAAAGTGCCCTTGAGGAAAGATAGGTACACATACAAATCTGCCTCAGACATGGATTGCACTCACCATC